CACACCACTCAACACCAAAAAAACAATCCAGTAGAAAAATGGGCACAGGACCTGCACAGACACCCTCCCAAGGAGACCTACAACGGACAACAGAGACATGAAAAGACACTCAACCCCACAAGCTCTTGGGGAAATGCCAATCAAAACCGCAACGAGCTACCACCTCGCCCCTGTTCAGTTAGGCCATTAGCAACAGACGAGTGGTTGGGTGCTGAGAGGCAGTGGAGAAGGGAACTCGCACTCACCGCTGGTGGGAATGGAGATGGGTGCAGCCACTATGGACAACAGTGCAGAGGGTCTTCAAAAAATGAAAAATAGACTTACCACGTGACTCAGCAATCCCTCTTCTGGGTATCGACCCCGAAAACCTGAAAACATTTATTCACAAAGGCATATGCAACCCAATGTTCATTGCAACATTATTCACGGAGGCGAAGACATGGGAACAACTGAAGTGTCCCTCGATAGAGGACTGGATAAAGAAGATGGGGTACATGTACACCATGGAATACGACTCAGCCATAAGCAAGGACAAAACACTTAGCATTTGCAATAACATGGATGGACCTTGAGAGTATCCTGCTAAGGGATATACATCAGACAGAAAAAGCAAAGAACCATATCATTTCACTCATGTGTGGGATATCAAACTGAAAGCAACAAACAAGGGAAAAAAAACATGCAAATTTTATCATATAAAATCCCCAGGGTTGTAAAGAGATGAGCACAATTTTGCATACAATTTTCCACATTGGAAAAAGGAGAAACAATCCATCCATGTCAATCTTGAAAGAGTCAAAGAGAAATGGAAATAGAGTGCAGTGTGACCGCAAAAACCAACGAGCCATGAAGGTGCCATTCAGAAATCTGAGTAATTTAACAGATCATGCGTCTCTGATAACATTTTGGCACATTTGGTTTTCGCTACAATACTTTTAGGTCCAGTTGCTGAAAACTCTCTCCATTTCTCCATTTTATCATCAAAGCAACAGAAAAAAGAGTGAAGATGGAAGAAGAAATTACAAAGATTCAACAATGTAGGTCAGGTTGGTGAGGTTCTTAATAAAGAAAATGGTGTAAATATCCTCCTCTATAATAAAAGGGTAATATGCAAATTGACCCAAATGGTGGAATGACCGGGAACAACCGGTCGCTATGGTGTGCACTGACCACCAGGGGGCAGCAGGGCTGAGGGACCTCCCCCCCACCCCAAGTACATGAATTTTCATGCACCGGGCCTCTAGTTTTTAAATAAGGCTCTAAAACGGGTGGGGAACATCCAGTCCATAGACTGCAGGAGGCCCATGAAGTCATGTGGCCTGGCCCTGCCAAGGCATTAGGGGTGAGTTAATTAAATGTTGGACAAAAGAGAAGGCTAATTTTTAAGTTAATCATTTGGTATGGTCCCCCGGATGATAGTATCAATACCCACATGGCTGTTGGCAGGAAAAAGGTTCCCCACCCATGTCCTCACAAGCACCCACGCCCTCCCGGGCACGGACAGAGATCGCAGGACGGTCACAGGACACGTGCCACATCAATGCCAAAGGTCACGAGAAGGTACTCACCCCTGGCCGCTGAAGGGACAGACCTCTTACAGCCCTGTCTTGGCGAAATGTGACAAAAAGCAAAGACGGAGACTGAGAAAACACCCGGGGTAAAAAAATCGTAAAGAACTACAATGGGTCCCACGGTCATTGTGTCAATAGATTTTTACTGATTTCACAGAGGAAGGGAGAGGGAAAGAGCGACAGAAACATCAATGATTCTACCTCATCACTGAGGAACCAGAACCTAGTGGCTCAATTCAGAGTAGGACACAGACCCAGATTTCGGGTTCCAGCCCCAGACAAGGCGGGGACAGGAGGAAACCTACCGATGTTTCTGACTCAGATCAAAGAATCTCAATCTCTCTCTCTTCCCACCACCCTCAATTTCTCCATAAAATCAATAATAACAAAAAAGAACATATAAACATCATTACTACACAAGGGCACACCTGCTCCGCAAGTAAGACAACAGAAATGCACTCACCTTCAACGTCCAGGCACAGCCACCATGTTCCAGATAGTCGCACTGCAAGAAACAAAGACAGAAAAAATTAGTAAAAACGTCCTTCAGGAAGGCCGTGGGAGAACAGGCCTAACAGCCCGAGAACGTGAGCCAGAGATGTTCACAAGAAACAGACCGGGGAGAGGCAAAAGGTACCCCTCCCGGGCACTGCTTGCCTCTGAAACCAAACCCATTGTTTCCCAGGGAAGCCAGACTCCCAAATGTGGCGCCTCAAAATGGTCACGGACACGGGGCCTCAGATCACTCACACTGAACTTTATTTTAGTCATCATCTCTCTTCGAGACAATGCGTTCTCATCATTGACCCAACGAAGGCACTCTGCGGGCATCCGGACAACTGCACACTCGTTTGCTCACCAGAGATGTTTCCTGGGGCTGAGGACAGAGCAAGGTGGGCTTGACAGCTGCACTGTTCCGACTCTGGAAGGAGCCTGACAGACAGAGCCCAGGAGAGCTCTAGGCCAAATGAAGGCCATTGTTTTCGGAACATCACCTGGAAAAAGAGGAGTGACAGGGCTTCTAAAGGACCCATCTTGTTCATATCAGACCTGAATTCTAAGGGAACTTGTTCGTTTATGCGCCAATGACCACTTCCAAAACCAGGAAAGGAGAGAATGAATGAAACAACATGACCAAACAAACAAATAATAGGAATCACATAAAAAAAATCCATCAATGGAAATGGAGGCAGTATGATTCCACATCACCAACATAAAAATAACCAGCAACAGGATGCTCACCACACACACCCTTAGGGTTTGCAAGAAAGCTGAAGAGGAGCCATACTGCTCATGCCTGGGCGTGGTCCCCTTGGACACAGGAATCTGGCGCGATTCCTACACGGACCATGACATTGAGCATCCATTCAGGTGAAGGTAGAGGAGGTTAGGCGCTCAAGCCATGCACATGTCACATGACACTGTCACGGGACCCCACGAAAGGGCACTGAGCCCCCTTTCAGTCCGATTCCTTTCAGAGAGGAGGGACATCTTTGGCTTTGGGTCGGCCCGTTCCCAAGGACTTAGAGTCACCAATTATACAGCACCAGGGTCTCTCTTGCCCAAAGAGAGCCCCCTGCTCATTTTCATGCACACCTGCTCTCTGTCCAACACAAAAGTCAGCCACTCACCTGAGACGTGAAGGCCACGACCACCATCTGGAGAGATGGTCGCACTGCAAGACACAACCAGAGGAGAAACGTTTTGTTTTAAGAGTTGGCCTCTGGTACCGCCATCTTGGAGGTCCTACTGGGCACCAAAAACACCGCTGAACGTGGAGAAGGCTACGATCACGTGGAAGCGATCGGGGAGAGGCACGGGGCATCCTCTGAGGAATCTGCCTACCTCCAGCTCCCAATCCCCACGCTGGGGAGAATCCTAAGACTCCCCAGCACGGTGCCACCAATCTGTCACCCACAGTGGGCCTCAGCGTAATCCTATTGAGCAGGATTTTTATGTCATCACCTCTCTTCAAGGCCCAGACCGCGTAGACATCATTGACCCAGAGACAGCACTTCGCGCACAGAGGAACCAGCGCACACTCATATGCTCACCAGTGATGTTTCCTGGAACTAAGGACATAGCAAGGTGGGCTGGAGAGCTGCACTCTGCTTCCCACTCTGGAAGGAGCCTGACAGACACAGGAAGCTCTGGGCCCATGGAAACCCTTTTTTTCCGAACATGACCTGGACAAAGAGGAGTGGGACGGCCGCTAAAGGACCTGTCTCTTCCCTCTCGGAACTGAACCTAAAGCACGATGGCAATTGATGTGCAAATGATCACGCCCAAAACCAACACATGAAAGAGGAAAGGAATACATCCGAAAAGCAGGAAATGCACCAATGGAAAGCAGGGCACTACCGATTCCACGCGGACACAGACCACCGGCCATAAGATTCTCACTATTCACACACGCAGCGTTTGCCAAGGAAGCTGAGCAGAAACCCTACTGCTCACTCCTGGGCATGGTCCTCTTGGACACAACCGCCTCCTGATGTGCTGACACTGACCATGACATTGAGCATTCATTCGGGAGAGGGTAGAGGAGGTTAGGAGCTCACGCCATGCACATGTCACATGACAATGGCTAAAACATCCTCCCCCCTAACCCCCCGCAAAAAAAAAGAGGACTGAGACCACTTTCAGACCGATAACTTGCAGAGAGGAGGGACAACTTTGGCTCTGGGTCGGCCCATTCCCAAGGGCTTAGAGTCACCAAGAATAGAGCACCAGGGTCTCTCTTGCCCAAAGAGAGCCTCCTGCTGACTCTCATGCACACGAGCTCTCTGTGCAACACAAAAGTCAGCCACTCACCTGAAACCTGAAGGCCACGACCACCATCTGGAGAGATGGTCGCACTGCAAGACACAACCAGAGGAGAGATCTGCTTTAAGAGCTGGCCTCTGGCGTGGCTCTCAGTGCAGACCTACTGTGCAAAAAACACAACCGTGAACATGGAGGAGGCCATGTTCACGTAGCGGTGATCGGGGGGAGGCACGTGGCATCCTCTCAAGGATCTGCCCGCCTCGAGAACCCAATCCCATCGCTGGGGAGAAACCTAAGACTCCCCAACATGGTGCCACCAAACTGGCACCTTACTGGGCCTCAGCGTAATCCTATTGAGCATGATTTTTAAGTCATCACCTCACTTCAAGATTAAGGGTTGTCATCATTGACCCAACGAAGGCACTCTGCGGGCATCGGTACAACTGCACACTCGTTTGCTCACCAGAGATGTTTCCTGGGGCTGAGGACAGAGCAAGGTGGGCTTGACAGCTGCACTGTTCCGACTCTGGAAGGAGCCTGACAGACAGAGCCCAGGAGAGCTCTAGGCCAAATGAAGGCCACTGTTTTCGGAACATCACCTGGAAAAAGAGGAGTGACAGGGCTTCTAAAGGACCCATCTTGTTCATATCAGACCTGAATTCGAAGGGAACTTGTTCGTTTATGCGCCAATGACCACTTCCAAAACCAGGAAAGGAGAGAATGAATGAAACAACATGACCAAACAAACAAATAATAGGAATCACATAAAAAAAATCCATCAATGGAAATGGAGGCAGTATGATTCCACATCACCAACATAAAAATAACCAGCAACAGGATGCTCACCACACACACCCTTAGGGTTTGCAAGAAAGCTGAAGAGGAGCCATACTGCTCATGCCTGGGCGTGGTCCCCTTGGACACAGGAATCTGGCGCGATTCCTACACGGACCATGACATTGAGCATCCATTCAGGTGAAGGTAGAGGAGGTTAGGCGCTCAAGCCATGCACATGTCACATGACACTGTCACGGGACCCCACGAAAGGGCACTGAGCCCCCTTTCAGTCCGATTCCTTTCAGAGAGGAGGGACAACTTTGGCTCTGGGTCGGCCCATTCCCAAGGGCTTAGAGTCACCAAGAATAGAGGACCAGGGTCTCTCTTGCCCAAAGAGAGCCTCCTGCTGACTCTCATGCACACGAGCTCTCTGTGCAACACAAAAGTCAGCCACTCACCTGAAACGTGAAGGCCACGACCACCATCTGGAGAGATGGTCGCACTGCAAGACACAACCAGAGGAGAGATCTGCTTTAAGAGCTGGCCTCTGGCGTGGCTCTCAGTGCAGACCTACTGTGCACCAAAACAACCGTGAACATGGAGGAGGCCATGTTCACGAAGCGGTGATCGGGGGGAGGCACGTGGCATCCTCTCAAGGATCTGCCCGCCTCGAGAACCCAATCCCATCGCTGGGGAGAAACCTAAGACTCCCCAACATGGTGCCACCAAACTGGCACCTTACTGGGCCTCAGCGTAATCCTATTGAGCATGATTTTTAAGTCATCACCTCACTTCAAGATTAAGGGTTGTCATCATTGACCCAACGAAGGCACTCTGCGGGCATCCGTACAACTGCACAGTCGTTTGCTCACCAGAGATGTTTCCTGGGGCTGAGGACAGAGCAAGGTGGGCTTGACAGCTGCACTGTTCCGACTCTGGAAGGAGCCTGACAGACAGAGCCCAGGAGAGCTCTAGGCCAAATGAAGGCCACTGTTTTCGGAACATCACCTGGAAAAAGAGGAGTGACAGGGCTTCTAAAGGACCCATCTTGTTCATATCAGACCTGAATTCGAAGGGAACTTGTTCGTTTATGCGCCAATGACCACTTCCAAAACCAGAAAAGGAGAGAATGAATGAATCAATATGAACAAATAAACAAATAATAGGAATCACATAAAAAAAATCCATCAATGGAAATGGAGGCAGTATGATTCCACATCACCAACATAAAAATAACCAGCAACAGGATGCTCACCACACACACCCTTAGGGTTTGCAAGAAAGCTGAAGAGGAGCCATACTGCTCATGCCTGGGCGTGGTCCCCTTGGACACAGGAATCTGGCGCGATTCCAACACGGACCATGACATTGAGCATCCATTCAGGTGAAGGTAGAGGAGGTTAGGCGCTCAAGCCATGCACATGTCACATGACACTGTCACGGGACCCCACGAAAGAGCACTGATCCCCCTTTCAGTCCGATTCCTTTCAGAGAGGAGGGACATCTTTGGCTTTGGGTCGACCCGTTCCCAAGGACTTAGAGTCACCAATTATATAGCACCAGGGTCTCTCTTGCCCAAAGAGAGCCTCCTGCTCATTTTCATGCACACGTGCTCTCTGTCCAACACAAAAGTCAGCCACTCACCTGAGACGTGAAGGCCACGACCACCATCTGGAGAGATGGTCGCACTGCAAGACACAACCAGAGGAGAAACGTTTTGTTTTAAGAGTTGGCCTCTGGTACCGCCATCTTGGAGGTCCTACTGGGCACCAAAAACACCGCTGAACGTGGAGAAGGCTACGATCACGTGGAAGCGATCGGGGAGAGGCACGTGGCATCCTCTCAGGCATCTGCCTGCCTCCAGCTCCCAATCCCAACGCTGGGGAGAATCCTAAGACTCCCCAGCACGGTGCCACCAATCTGTCACCCACAGTGGGCCTCAGCGTAATCCTATTGAGCAGGATTTTTATGTCATCACCTCTCTTCAAGGCCCAGACCGCGTAGACATCATTGACCCAGAGACAGCCCTTCGCGCACAGAGGACCCAGGGCACACTCATATGCTCACCAGAGATGTTTCCTGGAACTAAGGACATAGCAAGGTGGGCTGGAGAGCTGCACTCTGCTTCCCACTCTGGAAGGAGCCTGACAGACACAGGAAGCTCTGGGCCCATGGAAACCCTTTTTTTCCGAACATGACCTGGACAAAGAGGAGTGGGACGGCCGCTAAAGGACCTGTCTCTTCCCTCTCGGAACTGAACCTAAAGCACGATGGCAATTGATGTGCAAATGATCACGCCCAAAACCAACACATGAAAGAGGAAAGGAATACATCCGAAAAGCAGGAAATGCACCAATGGAAAGCAGGGCACTACCGATTCCACGCGGACACAGACCACCGGCCATAGGATTCTCACTATTCACACACGCAGCGTTTGCCAAGGAAGCTGAGCAGAAACCCTACTGCTCACTCCTGGGCATGGTCCTCTTGGACACAACCGCCTCCTGATGTGCTGACACTGACCATGACATTGAGCATTCATTCGGGAGAGGGTAGAGGAGGTTAGGAGCTCACGCCATGCACATGTCACATGACAATGGCTAAAACATCCTCCCCCCTAACCCCCCGCAAAAAAAAAGGAGCCTGAGACCACTTTCAGACCGATAACTTGCAGAGAGGAGGGACAACTTTGGCTCTGGGTCGGCCCATTCCCAAGGGCTTAGAGTCACCAAGAATAGAGCACCAGGGTCTCTCTTGCCCAAAGAGAGCCTCCTGCTGACTCTCATGCACACGAGCTCTCTGTGCAACACAAAAGTCAGCCACTCACCTGAAACCTGAAGGCCACGACCACCATCTGGAGAGATGGTCGCACTGCAAGACACAACCAGAGGAGAGATCTGCTTTAAGAGCTGGCCTCTGGCGTGGCTCTCAGTGCAGAACTACTGTGCACCAAACACAACCGTGAACATGGAGGAGGCCATGTTCACGTAGCGGTGATCGGGGGGAGGCACGTGGCATCCTCTCAAGGATCTGCCCGCCTCGAGAACCCAATCCCATCGCTGGGGAGAAACCTAAGACTCCCCAACATGGTGCCACCAAAGTGGCACCTTACTGGGCCTCAGCGTAATCCTATTGAGCATGATTTTTAAGTCATCACCTCACTTCAAGATTAAGGGTTGTCATCATTGACCCAACGAAGGCATTCTGCGGGCATCCGTACAACTGCACACTCGTTTGCTCACCAGAGATGTTTCCTGGGGCTGAGGACAGAGCAAGGTGGGCTTGACAGCTGCACTGTTCCGACTCTGGAAGGAGCCTGACAGACAGAGCCCAGGAGAGCTCTAGGCCAAATGAAGGCCATTGTTTTCGGAACATCACCTGGAAAAAGAGGAGTGACAGGGCTTCTAAAGGACCCATCTTGTTCCTATGAGACCTCAACTCTAAGGGAACTTGTTCGTTTATGCGCCAATGACCACTTCCAAAACCAGGAAAGGAGAGAATGAATGAAACAATATGAACAAAAAAAGAAATAATAGGAATCACATAAAAAAAATCCATCAATGGAAATGGAGGCAGTATGATTCCACATCACCAACAAAAAATAACCAGCAACACGATTTTCAGCACACACAACCTTTGGGTTTGCAAGAAACTCAAGAGGAGCCATACTGCTCATGCCTGGGCGTGGTCCCCTTGGACACAGGAATCTGGCGCGATTCCAACACGGACCATGACATTGAGCATCCATTCAGGTGAAGGTAGAGGAGGTTAGGCGCTCAAGCCATGCACATGTCACATGACACTGTCACGGGACCCCACGAAAGAGCACTGAGCCCCCTTTCAGTCCGATTCCTTTCAGAGAGGAGGGACATCTTTGGCTTTGGGTCGGCCCGTTCCCAAGGACTTAGAGTCACCAATTATATAGCACCAGGGTCTCTCTTGCCCAAAGAGAGCCCCTGCTTATTTTCATGCACACCTGCTCTCTATCCAACACAAAAGTCAGCCACTCACCTGAGACGTGAAGGCCACGACCACCATCTGGAGAGATGGTCGCACTGCAAGACACAACCAGAGGAGAAACGTTTTGTTTTAAGAGTTGGCCTCTGGTACCGCCATCTTGGAGGTCCTACTGGGCACCAAAAACACCGCTGAACGTGGAGAAGGCTACGATCACGTGGAAGCGATCGGGGAGAGGCACGGGGCATCCTCTGAGGAATCTGCCTACCTCCAGCTCCCAATCCCCACGCTGGGGAGAATCCTAAGACTCCCCAGCACGGTGCCACCAATCTGTCACCCACAGTGGGCCTCAGCGTAATCCTATTGAGCAGGATTTTTATGTCATCACCTCTCTTCAAGGCCCAGACCGCGTAGACATCATTGACCCAGAGACAGCCCTTCGCGCACAGAGGAACCAGGGCACACTCATATGCTCACCAGAGATGTTTCCTGGAACTAAGGACATAGCAAGGTGGGCTGGAGAGCTGCACTCTGCTTCCCACTCTGGAAGGAGCCTGACAGACACAGGAAGCTCTGGGCCCATGAAAACCCTTTTTTTCCGAACATGACCTGGACAAAGAGGAGTGGGACGGCCGCTAAAGGACCTCTCTCTTCCCTCTCGGAACTGAACCTAAAGCACCATGGCAATTGATGTGCAAATGATCACGCCCAAAACCAACACATGAAAGAGGAAGGAATACATCCGAAAAGCAGGAAATGCACCAATGGAAAGCAGGGCACTACCGATTCCACGCGGACACAGACCACCGGCCACAGGATTCTCACTATTCACACACGCAGCGTTTGCCAAGGAAGCTGAGCAGAAACCCTACTGCTCACTCCTGGGCATGGTCCTCTTGGACACAACCGCCTCGTGATATGCTAACACGGACCATGACATTGAGCATTCATTCAGGAGAGGGTAGAGGAAGTTAGGCGCTCAAGCCATGCACATGTCACATGACAATGGCTAAAACATCCTCCCCCTTAACCCCCCGCAAAAAAAAAGGAGCTCTGAGACCACTTTCAGACCGATAACTTGCAGAGAGGAGGGACAACTTTGGCTCTGGGTCGGCCCATTCCCAAGGGCTTAGAGTCACCAAGAATAGAGCACCAGGGTCTCTCTTGCCCAAAGAGAGCCTCCTGCTGACTCTCATGCACACGAGCTCTCTGTGCAACACAAAAGTCAGCCACTCACCTGAAACCTGAAGGCCACGACCACCATCTGGAGAGATGGTCGCACTGCAAGACACAACCAGAGGAGAGATCTGCTTTAAGAGCTGGCCTCTGGCGTGGCTCTCAGTGCAGAACTACTGTGCACCAAACACAACCGTGAACATGGAGGAGGCCATGTTCACGTAGCGGTGATCGGGGGGAGGCACGTGGCATCCTCTCAAGGATCTGCCCGCCTCGAGAACCCAATCCCATCGCTGGGGAGAAACCTAAGACTCCCCAACATGGTGCCACCAAACTGGCACCTTACTGGGCCTCAGCGTAATCCTATTGAGCATGATTTTTAAGTCATCACCTCACTTCAAGATTAAGGGTTGTCATCATTGACCCAACGAAGGCATTCTGCGGGCATCCGTACAACTGCACACTCGTTTGCTCACCAGAGATGTTTCCTGGGGCTGAGGACAGAGCAAGGTGGGCTTGACAGCTGCACTGTTCCGACTCTGGAAGGAGCCTGACAGACAGAGCCCAGGAGAGCTCTAGGCCAAATGAAGGCCACTGTTTTCGGAACATCACCTGGAAAAAGAGGAGTGACAGGGCTTCTAAAGGACCCATCTTGTTCATATCAGACCTGAATTCGAAGGGAACTTGTTCGTTTATGCGCCAATGACCACTTCCAAAACCAGGAAAGGAGAGAATGAATGAAACAACATGACCAAACAAACAAATAATAGGAATCACATAAAAAAAATCCATCAATGGAAATGGAGGCAGTATGATTCCACATCACCAACATAAAAATAACCAGCAACAGGATGCTCACCACACACACCCTTAGGGTTTGCAAGAAAGCTGAAGAGGAGCCATACTGCTCATGCCTGGGCGTGGTCCCCTTGGACACAGGAATCTGGCGCGATTCCTACACGGACCATGACATTGAGCATCCATTCAGGTGAAGGTAGAGGAGGTTAGGCGCTCAAGCCATGCACATGTCACATGACACTGTCACGGGACCCCACGAAAGGGCACTGAGCCCCCTTTCAGTCCGATTCCTTTCAGAGAGGAGGGACATCTTTGGCTTTGGGTCGGCCCGTTCCCAAGGACTTAGAGTCACCAATTATACAGCACCAGGGTCTCTCTTGCCCAAAGAGAGCCCCCTGCTCATTTTCATGCACACCTGCTCTCTGTCCAACACAAAAGTCAGCCACTCACCTGAGACGTGAAGGCCACGACCACCATCTGGAGAGAGGTCGCACTGCAAGACACAACCAGAGGAGAAACGTTTTGTTTTAAGAGTTGGCCTCTGGTACCGCCATCTTGGAGGTCCTACTGGGCACCAAAAACACCGCTGAACGCGGAGAAGGCTACGATCACGTGGAAGCGATCGGGGAGAGGCACGTGGCATCCTCTCAGGCATCTGCCTGCCTCCAGCTCCCAATCCCAACGCTGGGGAGAATCCTAAGACTCCCCAGCACGGTGCCACCAATCTGTCACCCACAGTGGGCCTCAGCGTAATCCTATTGAGCAGGATTTTTATGTCATCACCTCTCTTCAAGGCCCAGACCGCGTAGACATCATTGACCCAGAGACAGCCCTTCGCGCACAGAGGAACCAGGGCACACTCATATGCTCACCAGTGATGTTTCCTGGAACTAAGGACATAGCAAGGTGGGCTGGAGAGCTGCACTCTGCTTCCCACTCTGGAAGGAGCCTGACAGACACAGGAAGCTCTGGGCCCATGGAAACCCTTTTTTTCCGAACATGACCTGGACAAAGAGGAGTGGGACGGCCGCTAAAGGACCTCTCTCTTCCCTCTCGGAACTGAACCTAAAGCACGATGGCAATTGATGTGCAAATGATCACGCCCAAAACCAACACATGAAAGAGGAAAGGAATACATCCGAAAAGCAGGAAATGCACCAATGGAAAGCAGGGCACTACCGATTCCACGCGGACACAGACCACCGGCCATAGGATTCTCACTATTCACACACGCAGCGTTTGCCAAGGAAGCTGAGCAGAAACCCTACTGCTCACTCCTGGGCATGGTCCTCTTGGACACAACCGCCTCCTGATGTGCTGACACTGACCATGACATTGAGCATTCATTCGGGAGAGGGTAGAGGAGGTTAGGAGCTCACGCCATGCACATGTCACATGACAATGGCTAAAACATCCTCTCCCCTTCCCCCTCCCAAAAAAAAAGGAGCTCTGAGACCACTTTCAGACCGATCACTTGCAGAGAGGAGGGACAACTTTGGCTCTGGGTCGGCCCATTCCCAAGGGCTTAGAGTCACCAAGAATAGAGCACCAGGGTCTCTCTTGCCCAAAGAGAGCCTCCTGCTGACTCTCATGCACACGAGCTCTCTGTGCAACACAAAAGTCAGCCACTCACCTGAAACCTGAAGGCCACGACCACCATCTGGAGAGATGGTCGCACTGCAAGACACAACCAGAGGAGAGATCTGCTTTAAGAGCTGGCCTCTGGCGTGGCTCTCAGTGCAGACCTACTGTGCACCAAAACAACCGTGAACATGGAGGAGGCCATGTTCACGAAGCGGTGATCGGGGGGAGGCACGTGGCATCCTCTCAAGGATCTGCCCGCCTCGAGAACCCAATCCCATCGCTGGGGAGAAACCTAAGACTCCCCAACATGGTGCCACCAAAGTGGCACCTTACTGGGCCTCAGCGTAATCCTATTGAGCATGATTTTTAAGTCATCACCTCACTTCAAGATTAAGGGTTGTCATCATTGACCCAACGAAGGCATTCTGCGGGCATCCGTACAACTGCACACTCGTTTGCTCACCAGAGATGTTTCCTGGGGCTGAGGACAGAGCAAGGTGGGCTTGACAGCTGCACTGTTCCGACTCTGGAAGGAGCCTGACAGACAGAGCCCAGGAGAGCTCTAGGCCAAATGAAGGCCATTGTTTTCGGAACATCACCTGGAAAAAGAGGAGTGACAGGGCTTCTAAAGGACCCATCTTGTTCCTATGAGACCTCAACTCTAAGGGAACTTGTTCGTTTATGCGCCAATGACCACTTCCAAAACCAGGAAAGGAGAGAATGAATGAAACAATATGAACAAATAAAGAAATAATAGGAATCACATAAAAAAATCCATCAATGGAAATGGAGGCAGTATGATTCCACATCACCAAGAAAAAATAACCAGCAACACGATTTTCAGCACACACAACCTTTGGGTTTGCAAGAAACTCAAGAGGAGCCATACTGCTCATGCCTGGGCGTGGTCCCCTTGGACACAGGAATCTGGCGCGATTCCAACACGGACCATGACATTGAGCATCCATTCAGGTGAAGGTAGAGGAGGTTAGGCGCTCAAGCCATGCACATGTCACATGACACTGTCACGGGACCCCACGAAAGGGCACTGAGCCCCCTTTCAGTCCGATTCCTTTCAGAGAGGAGGGACATCTTTGGCTTTGGGTCGGCCCGTTCCCAAGGACTTAGAGTCACCAATTATATAGCACCAGGGTCTCTCTTGCCCAAAGAGAGCCTCCTGCTTATTTTCATGCACACGTGCTCTCTGTCCAACACAAAAGTCAGCCACTCACCTGAGACGTGAAGGCCACGACCACCATCTGGAGAGAGGTCGCACTGCAAGACACAACCAGAGGAGAAACGTTTTGTTTTAAGAGTTGGCCTCTGGTACCGCCATCTTGGAGGTCCTACTGGGCACCAAAAACACCGCTGAACGCGGAGAAGGCTACGATCACGTGGAAGCGATCGGGGAGAGGCACGTGGCATCCTCTCAGGCATCTGCCTGCCTCCAGTTCCCAATCCCCACGCTGGGGAGAATCCTAAGACTCCCCAGCACGGTGCCACCAAAGTGCTATCTAACTGGGCCTCAGAGATTTCCTGTTGTGCCCAATATTTATGTCATCACCTCTTTTCAAGATGGAGACTGCCAGACATCATTGACCCAGAGACAGCACTATGCACAGAGCGGTACAACTGCACACACAGGTGCTCACCAGAGACGCTTCCTTTAGACATAGCGTGGTGGCCTTGACAGGTGCATTGTTCCGAGTCCGAAGGAGCCTGACAGAGAGCCCGGGAAGCTCTTGGCTAATTGAAAACCTTTTTTTTTCCAGAACATGACCTGCATAAAAAGATAGTGATGTCTTCTAAACAACCTATGCATCCCTCTTGAGATTGATGCTATTGGTCTTGATTCTTTTGTTGTTAAAAATTGTTTCAGCATTTATTCATCAATGAATTGATTAAGAAATTATAGACTTTGAAGTAGTGATTAAAGCACAAAATGAAATAGGCAGATACCTTTCACTATGCGCGCGCACACACACATGGCATTTGTCTTGATTTGTGAAGGGAAACCATACAGGTCACCCCAGGCATTAAAACAGGTTTTGTACGAAACCCTGGGCTACTCTACTGCCTACTGTATCGTAAAGTAGAGAAAGACAGCATGATGCCACACAGAAAATACCATGTGGCCCCCAGGTAACAGGACACCGTCCAGTTTTCACATTGGCTATGCTCCATGGAAAATAAAAATTATGTGATCATATCCATACCTTTCGAGAAAGCATATGACAAAATCTTGTACTCGCTTATGATTAAAATCTCTCAGCAAAGTGAAAATAGAGGGAACACACGCAGCATAATAAAAGCCATGCATGTCAAACCCTCAGCCAACATCAGATTCCATGAGGAAAACCAAAAAGTGTTTCCCTTAAGATCAGAAACAAAACAGCCATGTTCACTTTTACCACTCTTATTCAACACAGTCCCGGAAGCCCTAGCCACAGCAATCAGACAAGAAGACAAAATAAATGAAACCCAAATTCGAAAGGAAGAGGTAAGATGGTCATTATTGGCAGATGACATATTTATTGAGAATACCAAAAATTCCACCAAAAAAAAAAATCCTAGAACTGATTAATGAATTCATTGATGTAGCAGGATGCAAAAAAAAAAAAATACAGGGTTGGGCAAAAAGCTATGTTTCAGTTGTGCAGATGCAAAACACAGAGTTTATCCTTGTATCATTATTAATTAATTATTTTATTATCTTCCATACGAACAACTTTAAACATCCTTTTGCCCAACCCTGTATTCAGAAATCAGTTGCACTTTTTACACACCAATAATGAACTATCAGAAAGTGAGACTAAGACAATAATCCCATTTACAATTGCATCAACAAAATGCACCGAAATACCTAGGAATAAATTCAACTAAGGAGGTAAGAAGACCTGTACTCGGGAAATTATAAAACACGAAAGAAAAAAAACATGGGAGAAGATACTAATAAATAGAAATATATACCATGCTCATGGATAGAAAGAGTTAACATCATTAAAATGCCCACACCACCCAAACCAATCTAAAAATTAAATGCAGCCCCATCAAAATACCAAAGACATTTTTTGCACAGAAGTAAAACGAATAATCCAAAACTTTGTATGAAAATTCAAAGGACCTTGAATAGCCAACAGCTACTTATCACATATAAAGGGTACTGGGAAAAGACAAGTGGGTTTCTCAGCAGAAATCTTGCAGCCAGAAGAAAAAGGGAAAAATGCCACAATAAAAAAAACACACATCTTGCTTCCCCATAAAAAAGCATTCATTAAACAATCTCATTTACAACAGCACCAAAAACGTAACAAAATACATAGGGACAAACCAAGCAAGGAAGTACAAGACCTGGACACGGAGAATTGTAAAGCATTGGTGACAGAAATGGAAGGTGACACAATTAGATGAAAATGTGTCTTATGCTAATGAGCTGACAGAATTAACATGGCTAAAATGTCCAGATGACCCAAATCCATCTCCAGATTCCACGCAATCTCTATCAAAATTCCAATGACATTTTTTCACAGAAGTAGAAAAAAAAATCCCAAGGAACCAGAAACAAAACAAACATAAAAACCCAAAACGAAATATTGAGGAACCATAGTAAAGCCGGAGGCCTCACACTTCCTGACCTCAAACTATATTACAAAGTTATAGTAATCAAAACAGCATACTACTGCCCTGGCCAGTTTGGCTCAGTGGTTGGAGCGCTGCCCAAGGACTGAAGTATCTCGGGTTCGATTCCTGGTCAAGGGCAGGATCCCCAGGACTGATAGGGGTCGATTTCTCTCTCTCTCTCTCTCTCTCTCTCTCCCTCCCTCCCTCCCTCCCTCCCCTTCCCTTCCCTTCCACTGTCTCTAAAAATCAATGGAAAAAATATCCTCTGGTGAGGATTACAAAAATAACAACAAAAACAGTATACTACTACCATCAGAACACACACACAGACCAAAGAAACAGAGCCTAGAAATAACCCTCGAATACATCCTGGCCTAGGACATGACTACCTATCATAAACTGCCTTTTAATTAAAAGGTGTTAATTTCAGACCATCCTGTGGTTACGTTAGGTCTCTGAGTTTGCAAGGCCGCCACACAGGCCTTCCCAAAGCTAGGCAGGGTAGCGTGTGGTCCCTTTTCACTCACAGCACAAAACAGGAAAAAGTCTCTTTGACAAATAGTGCTGAGGCCTGGCTGGCATGGCTCAGTGGTTGAGGGTCAACCTAGGAACCAGGAGGTCACGGTTCGATTCCCGTGCAACCATCAGGGCATGTATGGGGCTTGCGGGCTCCATCCGGGGCGTGCAGGAGGCGGCCACCCAAGTTTCTCTCTCATCATTGATGCTTCTCTCTCCCTCTTCCTTCCTCTCTTAAATCAATCATAAAAATATATTTCAAAAAATAAATAGTGCTGGGGAAAACGGATACCCATACGAAAAAAAAAACAACCATACCAAAGAACCCCCACAAAGAACACCAATGAAACTGGACGCATGTAGAATAAAAAAATAAATAAAAATAAAATAAAATTACAGAAATAAAAAAAAGAAAGAAACTGGACCCATGTTACACCCTATACACACACACACACACACACACACACACACTTCAACTCAAAATAAACCGAAGACCTAAATGTAAGACCTGAAACTGTCCACACACTGGGGAAAAGCACCTTGACGTTGGTCTTGGAAACAAAAAAAAAGAAAACAAAAAAAGGCCATGACACCCAAAGCGAAGGCCTTAGGAAAAGCGAACGTAACAAACCCCGCAGTTCTCCGCATTATCCCAATCCGTTGAGGTTTTGCTTCCCTGCAACTGTCGTCAGTTTGGCTCAAATAAACTCACAAAAAATTCTTTACAAAAAGAGAGAGAGGGGGGAAAAAAAAGCAAAAATAAACGAGGGGACTACATCACACCAAAAAGCGTTCTACGTGGCAGTGACTACAAAGCAAAGGGCGAGGGCACGAGAAGGTCGGGAAACGGAGGGAGAGCTCTCCCGGGGGGAGCAAACGGCGCAGGATGGAGACCCCGGGCAAGGTCCTTGTTTAAATGCCCCCCGCCCCCCGCCCCCAGCCTGGAGAGCAGGCAGCCGGCGCTCCATCCAGGTCCCGGCCCCCACCCACCCCTACCCCCACCCCTCCTACCCGGGCAGGCGCTGTAACTCACGAGGCCCCGCAGAAACAGGGGGGCCAACCGCACAGCCTCCGAGGAGGAGCTCGGGCACCTGGCGCAGGTGCAACCACCTAAGGGCGCATCGCTCCCACCTGGCTGCGCGCACGAAAGGCTGCGCGGTCAGAGAGCGCGCTACCCACCTGCAGGGTCCAGAGAGCGCGCGTGCGTCGGGGGGACCCGGCCGTGTCGCTTCTACGCCCCAACCTTCACGGAGCTCCCACCCAGGGCCGCAGAGCGCGCAGAACAGCCAGAGAGCCTGCGCGCTTAAGTCGGCCCGGCCAGGAAAGGGCGGGGCTAAGAGGGGTGGGGATGCAGGCACGCGAGGCCCCGCCCACGGAGGATATTTGCACCAATAGGGATGCTCAGGGCTGCCCCCCGCCCCCAGGGGCGTGGCTGAGCATGCGAGGAACGGTATTGGCAGCT